TTTTCCGGTTTCATGTGTCGTTGGATAAGAGCATTTACACGATTTATTACCCCCGTGATACGACTACATATTCATGAATTATGAATATTTATAAATTTCCGTAATACAACCTGTGCCGCGCGATGTTTCAATTACACACGTCGATAAAACATTCCGTACAGTTATTTTCATAAAGCTATTACTTTCTTTTCAGTGTGACTTTTCGTTACTCCGTCGAATATTATAGACGTGCTACGAGACATTTTCTAATTATCATTAAATAAATAAGCACCTAATTATGAATTCTCTGCGAGAAAGACATAATCGAAAATTGCAAGGGACGGGAAGAGGCTTTCTCTTCCACAGGGAGGAAGCAGCGGATTTCCTAAAGCCCCGACGAAATTTATACGGCTTCTTCCGCGCGACAATTTCATTTTTGTAACGGTAGAAGGGACGTGGGGCGGGTGGGAGGAGGTGAACCGTAAAGCCGAGATAGGGACGCCTGTACGCGACGTTAGTCCGGCGGTCTAGGGCCGCGAAGGAAACCGAAGAACGAAGGAGACGAGAACGAGACACGGGGCCCCGGAGCGATGAAACTATAAAGCCACTCCTAGTAAGTTGTAAAATTGTAATAGCCTTCCGGTATTTACATAATGCTACGGCATAATAAGTGGAACTCCCCGAGTTTCCATTACCATTCCGCTGCTATCCGCTCTTATCTTCGCTAACGACCCGGCCTCGGGTCTCCTCCGTTCACCCCCGTGACTTATATTTTTCCACCCCATTCTTCGTCGGACAACCGGCTTTCGTCCTATCCGTGAGTTCTCCGCTACCTTCGCGTCACCGTCGTCTTAGACACGGCTGAAAGTAAATCTCGATAACTCCGCAAAGGTAGAAGTCCTCGAAGGAGAATTATTTTATAGGATGTTTTGGATCTGAGAACATTTGGTAATTTCTGTGTATGTGCGAATTTCTCCCGTCATGACGAATCGAATTACAGTAGAATATCTATTTGTGGGGCACCATTTATCCAGCATTCCATTATTCGAACTTCTATGCACGCAGAAACTTATCCCAACTGAACTTTTATTAACACTATTTACACATAGGAATATTCTATAGTAACTAGTGATTTTCTGTTTTTACAAGTTTACGGGTCTTTGAAGTCTTACTGTGTACCATTGTGACATTATTATCTGAGTAGGAATACCTTCAAAAGTAGATTTAATGTACATAATTTCGAGGGTACCGAAAAAATATGCACTGAACCTTCCTGGTGAGAATATCATCATGATATACCTTTGTATATATATATATATCTTTGTATATACATATATTTGTATGTATATCTTTGGGCAGGTCACAGTAAGAACATGACAGTTTTGGAAGTAATAGTTCTCTATTTATTCACGAAATAAACATACAGAATATCATTTCTTAACGCGTAAAGATTACACAGAACCATTTTCACTTGAAATTTCATTTCTTATTCCATCCTGACTTCTCGCAGAGGTTACACTATCATCGGCACAGATCCTTCACCGATATCTCTGAAATCATGAAGTTCACGTCTATTCTCGAAGATAACACCTATTCCGGGCCCGGTTAAAAATGAGCTCTTTTAGTAAGTTAAAACTAGAAACCCGGTCGTTTATAACACGAGTTATCAACATTCATGTAGGTGTCGCTACACAGCCTCAGGTTCAAAGTGTCGCCATAAGACCCAACACGGTCCTCGTCGCGAAACTTCGACGATGTAATTACACGCGGGCGAACCGTGTTCCGCGGGGCAAGCCAATCCGACGACGTCTCGCCGCGGGACAAAAGAGTCTCTTCGCGCAGCATGAAAGAAACGGCCGTCCGGTGGTGTGTCTCCGGGCATCGTGGCAGATACGCCGGTTGAAGTGTCTCGTTTGCACGACAATGCTCTCATTACGAAACGGGGACCGGGCGTAGCGGAGCGTAATAAAATTTCCGCGCAGCTCGGCCAGTTCTTAGGCCGGAATCCGTCGAGCAACGACAGCGGTTAGGACACGGTCGCAGAGCGACAACAGCGCCGGGATATCAGGAAACTTCAATTCCCTGTTTCGGCACTTCCGGCCAAGGTGGAGCAAGAAATAGCTTGCGATGTGCTAGGGGGGGCTGGGGAGTCGCGCTGCAACTTCATTCGAATAAGTGGTTCCCCTTTGCCCCGTGTACCCTCTTCCCCTTGTTCCTTCTCATTATTTATCCACGTCTATCTTGCTCGGTTCGTCCCAAGTCCGTACTCTTCCTTCCGCTCGCTATGATCCTTCTCCCTCTAGCTGCCGTTCTGGGCAGCTGTCTGTCACTGCCAAGAGCGGAGGCGGTTCTTCCATGGGGACCAGGTACTCGCCGGCGAAATCGAGGCGAGTCATTTATTTAATTTTCGAGATCCAGCCGTTTTATTTTCATCCTCGGGACTTTATACACTTCGCTGATTAGCCAGTCCCACGGACGAGCCCGCGAGTATTCTCCCCGCGCCCGTCCACCCATAAGATGAGAGGGACATAGGGATGAGCTCGGAACCTGGAGGATGGGATTAGAAAGAGAGACCCGGGGGTTGAGTTCAGAACCACGAGGTGGAAGGACTTGCGCCGAGGCGGCGGGGTTTGCGTTACTCACCGGATATAGAGAGGTCTAAACCCAGCCATCACTGAAATTACCAGAGTTTACCTCTTCTGCTGTTTCCGCTGTATTCACTATCCACCACCACCCTCTTCCCACACACCGTGCCCTCGACCCTCTTTCGCGTTTCGTTCTCTTTTCCTTACCGACAGAAACCCCCCGCGTCCCTATCCTAGGGAAATTTTCCGCACGGCGAACTCTATTACATCGCGATCTTGTTATTAAGACGTTCTTTCTGAATACCGGGTTTTCTTTGGTTTTCTTTCGTTCCCCGGCACGATCTACTCGCGATACCGTTAAAGCATTTTCTACTAATTAGGTTCACCGTGATACGTTCCTCCGCTGATTCTATAGGAGCGCTTTCGTTGCTTTCTCTTTCGATCACGATCGTCAGCGATCTGGTTAATGGATTGTTATGTATAGACGCTTGTATTGGAGTTAAGTTGGTGATAGACAGTCCAATGATATAAAAGGAAACTGAAGCTTTTAGGAATGCTAAAAGGATGTGTATGTCGAAGAAAGTAGGAAACTGGCATCAGTGAAGTACATGAGCACTTTTAGAATTCTAATTGCTATTCGTTCTTCTAACCTTCAAAAAGATTTTAATACGTAGTATGCCATAATATAAAATAATCTGGGATATTACTACATAAAATAAGATTTAAAGAAAGATCACTTTTCTAAATCTATTACAAATATAAAGTTTCTTTGAATAAATTGATTTTATTTGTTCGAATGTAATCATTCTGCGCGGAAAATTAGTTTATCGTAGGATTGCACAAACGTCCTTTCTTTGACGTTAATTGCTTCCTCGAACATTCCTGAATATAATAATGTCCTTTCTATTTTTGGAATGGATGACCGTTCTATACGACGTCGACGATCGGAATTGACATTACCGATTCGAACAAGTATGAAAAATGTCGTCCAAGAAAGGTTCCTTTCCGTGGAAACGGCGGTGGTGTGCTCGACGCGGTCCATTCATATTTTATCAGCTTCTTATCAATTTCTTAAGCACAACCGTACCATTTCTCAGCCGTCCCTCCCGTTCACTCTGTGCGCCACAGCCTTCCAGTTCTTTCCTCTTTAAACACGCTTTGAAAAGAGCATTATTCCCAACACATTTTTACAGCCACGTAGATCTGCAAAGTAAACATATTTTGAAACGTACCATGGGATCCTTTCACGGAGTTCTCAAAGCTTAAATTTCGAATATGTGACTATCGTGGAAGGAATTCAATCAAAGAGAGATATTTAACAATAATGAAGGGAACTATCACATTTCTTTGGAAACTCTCTGCTCTCTATTCTCATAGATCAAAGTGAAAAGTTTTTCAAAGCACTCGCTCTGCAAGAGGAACTTATTTCTTCGGCTTAATAACACACTGGTTTCTCGTGAATGAAGTATTCATACCTCTTACGCGTGCCATACCATGAACTGTTTTAATAAAATTTGTCTCACCACTCGGATTGCGGAATTTTATTGAAAATATGGTAATGAGTTTCGGTACATTTTCCCAGAAGGAAATAAATATCGTTTCTGCTTCCTGCACATTCCATTTTGTGTACCAAATATGAACACGTCTGCGTTTCCACGGTACAGCGTGTCGATATGTCGACGTAGATACTAGTGTGTGCGTGTGTGTCGATCAATAGCAGTTTACAAAAATCGTCCACACGTGTCCAGAAATACCGATTTTCTAGCTGCGAACCGTGCCACCAGAAATTCGAAACATTCATTTAACTAAAATTCAAGAAAGCTTTGCTTACATTCGTTGACACGTGTCACCTATTTTTACGTATTTTTTGTACCCTTGTATCAAAATACAAGGCGCAGTTAGCATTTAAAAAGGAATTCTTGCAATTTTAATGCAAAAATAAAATTGAACTGAACTGATTCAAATAATAATATAACGATGGCTCCACAATATCTGGTAGTGCCCAATAAATAATTTTATTGCAATAGCAATTCGCGATTAGGAAACGCTTTATTCTAGTAATTTGGAGAGTTTTCAAGAAAGTTGGAATGCGTTGGCCAGACATATCTGGTATCAGTGTATATTTAAAATCAATTTTCTCGAATACAGAATCCTCTCATCGCAACAATATTTCCAGTTTCCTATTTGTTTATGAATAAAATATCATTTGTTCTTTTTGTTTCACTGCTCATTGTAGGCCTTCTTTAAGATTTAACCATTAAGAGTTAACGAAGCACAACGGTAATCGCTCTAAGGAGGACATTCCGACACACCACTACCAATTCAATATTAAACCCATCGTCACAATTCTAGTAATTCACAATTTCCAGATAACACCAACACAATCGTGTCTCTATAACACGAACAGTAATTAACCTGATGTTCTTCCTGTTACAGATGGTGACAAGGACAAAGAAGATATTCGTCGGTGGACTCTCGGCACCGACGACGCTGGAGGACGTCAAAAACTACTTCGAACAGTTCGGCCCGGTGAGTGCTCGTTTTAACGTTGATTAATACGATTTAAAGCGTGACGGTGCACGCCACGGCTGGGCTCGCGCGCGGTGACAAACATTCGACACGCGGATCGTACATCAATGACAGCTCGGCTCGCGTTGTGTTCCGCGTCAGGCATACCCCGTCATTGTAGCGGACATCATTCGGGGGGCTACGCTATCCCCGGGTCACACCGTCCAGCCGGACATTGCCGGTGATCATTGTCGCGAGACCGGTCGAATCATTATTTTCGGTGGCCGCGTCCGACGATGCATTGTCGATCCCCCGATTCAGCGTTTTGCTTATTTCCTGCGGGGTTCGCGCGTGCGGTCGTCTAAACCGACAGCGCTGGGGCCGGAACGTTGAAATTTGACAGGGCCAATCGCGGGACGAACTGAACGAACGGAACGGAACGGAACGGGAACGCGTCCACTATCACCCGTAGCCAATTCACGGCGTTTATTGTTTCGCCGATTTTAATAGGTGCACTTCGCGCCCGCTTTTATTACTCTAACGACGCGGATGCCTGACGTTCGGCTCACGCCATTCAGCCGGGGATATTACTGTTTCGAATAGAATTCTCGGTGAATTGCCGGATCGAGGGGTTCGTGTGTCTGAATCGGTTTCCACGATAATTGCCGTTAAAATTAAAGTTACGTGGATTCTACGGTAAATCGAACGATGTACTGGAATATTGGCCGCAGCGTGGATTGGTTATCTTGATATTATGTTGGTCTACTGGTGTCCGAAGGATCAGAAAAATTGAAAGGATCACGTTTTAATTTGGGTAAATCGAGACGTTAATCGTGTTATTGGTCTACTATTACTAATCCGAGAACACGAATTATTCATAAATTTAATTTATGATAAAAATAGTAGGAAGAGAATATTAATTGTGGTATTCGTCTGCAGAATTAACCCAATGATCACAGTAAGCACACCAGTACGCCATACGGTTTATCTGCCATTTTTGGCAGTACTATTTTAAATATTCATTTTTTCTCAGTATGTGTTGCATAGGAGAAATAATGATTTTACTTTACTAGGTTATAATTTCTCGTTATTACATTTAGAAATAATTTATTTAAAACTGTCTTATAAATAATAGCTAAAACCGGCGTTCATCAGCGTGTTAAGAACACTTTGTTCCCCATTTTTATTAAAAATCCGTGTGTGACCTGACAAATATCGATTTCAAGAATCTAGAATGCCGTAAGGAACGTATCACCTGATCATATTAAATTTACAATACATTCTTCGTACGCAGATTTTCGGAAGGTATAATTTTTTGGCATCGATAACCCGCGACCACTGTGACCGTGAGGACGTTAAGTCAATGTAAGTTTCTTCATGAAATTGTTACTAAATATTCCGCAGTATTCGTCGTAATCTATCGGGATTTTCACAATTGAACGTGACCAGGTATCGCACGCGCCATCTTTGCCGCCCATTGAACTTCCGGAATACTCGAGACGCCCTTCTCGCCGGCGCGGTTAAGTGATTAGGAATTGGTCGAAGGACCACCTGAGACGAGGATTTCTGCTAATTAGCCTTTATCGACCTCTGGGAGAGACTGCGCGGACCATTACGCGTTATTGTGCGAACTTCTCCGGCTTCTATCGCCCCCCGATAATAGCCGTCGCGATTCATCGGGCTCGGTGTATGAGACAGATAATGGTGCTCGGGCGTGATTTACGGGGAGACGGCTGTTACCCGAAATCGTTTCTCGTTCTGGCGATGAAGTAAATAGAATTAACGATTTGGTAATTGGTAATAACGTCCGTCGTTTGCCTTTTTCTGGTACTTGAACTGGGCTGAGCCCGGAGTCAAGTGGTTTACAGGAAGCGAACGCCTGTTTAGTAATGCTTTGAATATCGCTTGACATTCGTATAGTCTGCTCGGTGAGAGATATTTTTTATTTATGTTTTCAGTTATTTGAAAAATCCGGAGAATAATTAGATATTTAACATATCTATATTTTACACTGAAAGTTAACATCCAGAAATGACATTACTTATAAGGTGACCTGATATATCCCCTAGTCAATTTTGCAAAAATCTATTTCTTGTGCTATATCAGCGACTTATCTCCCCGTAGAACTAGCATAAGATTTCATTCCATCAGTTCGTAATTCTTCAGGTAGCATAATTTGAAGCCAACAGTTTCTTGTTACCAATCACCTATTACCACTTATTCAATACTGTCTAATTATTATGCAATGTAATGCCACTTTAGAGTTTCACTGAACAGTCGTTCGAGAAATATCGCACATTGGCTCCCGCTTCAACACTCTTCCAAAGGTTACGAACCACGAAGTTTGCGCGCAAAAACACGGCCAAAGTTAGAGAAACAACGAGAACAGAAAGAAAAAAGCACGGAGTATCACAATGTCGATGATTGTCCGCGGTTGATGGCACGAGCCAGAAATGGATATGAGATATCAGACCATGGAGGTGCGCTATCTCCGGCCTAGCCCTCTTGACTCGCCCCAATCCCTGTTCCCACCCTTCTTTTTTTTTCAAACCTTCTCTCGTTCGTTCACCGTTGAAAGTCTCGTCCGGGTTTCGAATGCAGAGCTTCCTGCTCGCCGTGGCTCGAGTTCCCTTTCCTCCAACTGTCTGACCCACATACCGAAATAAGATCGGTCACACACACATACACACAGAGGAGACACACATAGTATAGCCATCTGCACCGTACAGTAGGGTTGCAAACAATCATCGCTGGCACGTTTCAGGGTTCGATTCGTGCAGATATCAGGGCACAGGAGAGAGCGCACGTTCCGTTGCAAGGGCCGTGTGAACACACACTCTCGCAAACTCCGATACGTCGGCCGTGTACAGTTGAACAAACAGGCCCGACCGCGTCTGTGTTTGTGGAACGTAAACACACGAATTGACAGACCGAACGCTGCCGGTAACCTTATATCGTTTGCCAGCCGCTTCAGCATCGGTCCCTCGGCTCCTCCGCGACCCCAGCTTGTTCTCCCGCGATGAACGGACGGCCAGCGACCGAGAAATCTCCGCCAATGAAATACCACCGCCGTTCGCGAGTCTGATAAAGTTAACGACGTTCCCGGTAAATTCGTTATATTCAGCTTCCACGCGATACTCCTTCACGGTTTACGGCGGAGGCGGTCGAGCTTGAAATCGCGAACGAATCGGAGAGTGGGGGTCTGATTCCGTTCCCGCCTCGATCGAATTACGGTCTTCTGTTGATGCCGAGAGAAGTTGTGCTTCGAGGATAGCGATCTTAATTCGGTTTCGTTTCGGATGTTTATTTTTATGTCGACTGCAAGCTATTTGTCCGTGAAGTGTATATTGTCCTTTTGTGCTCTGGATAAGAATAATCTGTTGAATAAAGAGATTGGAAAATTCCTCGTAACGCTGATTGTTAGATTTGTATTTGCAGATGTTAGCCATTCGAAGAGGTTTAATATTTTTCTGATATTGTTCTATTTGGATTTATATGTTAATGCTACTTATAATATTATTAATTATTTATTTATTTCGGTTAGAATTCGATTGATAGTTGGCGATGAATTGCGATTAATAATTGAATTACCGTTACGTAAGTCAGAGTACTAACAAGAAGCATGTGAATCGCAATTTTGTATCATTTTTGAGACCTCGAAACCGTTGACCTAGTTTCTATTGAATGAAAATCGCAGAAAAATGGAATCCGAGATAAGGGTAAGAGGAAATAAATCTCCGTCGGTGAAATGGGAAAACTATAAGTCACTCGACACATCTGATGATATTGCCAGCAACTGTATTATAGTAGTTCGTATCGTGACTCCTTCGCGCGAAAGGAATCGTCTCGCCAAGGTCGATCGCGGAACACAGATACGGTCGAGAGCGTAAACCTTATCAAGGACTCGTTCGATAAATCTATAGAGTCGTTCGAGAAATAAAACCAGGCTACCTCGGGGATTAGTATCGTCTTATGTCGGGTATAATGCGATAACTTTCCGCAGTTAATAGAAATTCATTCAATGCATCGCGCATCGTTTCCATGGGAAGGAAAGGAAACACAGTTCTATTACGATAGAATCTTTCCTGCGATCGATACGTATCGGCCACTTTTTCCTTCCGAATACATCGTACCGCAGTTTCCAGCGAAAAATAATGCTAAACAGGCTAAAGTTCGACAATTCAATTTGCATATAAGGTTTGTAAATGACCAGAGAATCGTTGCAGAAGAATCAGGTGGAATGGAAGTACAGTTTCATCGAGGCTACTGCACGTTGTTAAAAGATTTTCTAATATAAGTATTCAGATACTTTGTGTCACATAGAATACATAAATGTGCTAGGCTTTCAACTTGTAGGGGACCGTAGTTTCCGCATAGTGTCGCGTTACACGGTCTTTATGTTTCTACACTCATTCCACTTGTCTGACTATAGACGTCCTATTCTACTGACACGGCTACTAACGACCTATTCTACGTATGTTGCTACACGAACCGAAATTTTAACCATAATAAAATTAAATTATCATTGTATAGAAGAAGAATATAAACAAATTAGTGAATATCTCAATGGTAATATATTACCAATGTTATCCGATAATCTACATAACATACCAATACGCTTCCGACTGCGCCAGTCAACCCACGGACACTCTCCTTGCACGCTTCTGAGTAGGTTAGGGATAAACAATCGTAATGAATCTTCCTACTTTCTCTTACATCTTATCCATTAATTATCAGCATAATTGTAATTTTCCATCAGTCCGCTGATTCAGCAGACCTATCGTTTTCCAAAAGCCACGCAATCTAAAATCGCGGCAAGACGGACTCGCCGACGTTACTTGAAAAATGAATGGATCCCTGAAGAGTCGAGGCTTAATTGCACTCGCTTTCAACTTTTGACTTCTTTCGTTCGACAGTCGAAGTGGCGGGAAAGGGATGAAAGAGGCTGGGAAGACGAAGAGGTGTACCCACGGTGAGACCACAGATCTTTGACCGCGTTGCATAACGCTCGACTTGAAATT